TTATCGGTAATCCCCCATGCTTTTCTAGTCAATGACACCACATGCATTGACTGATCTTCTTCACTGTAGTACTCGTTTCAATCAAAAGGTGATCTTCTTCAGTACAATGACATATATTTGATTTATATGTCTTCTAGGTGACAGTTCGTTTGTTTTTTCTTTTTATTATCACATTCCTATTCAGTGTGTTACTACAATAGTCTAAAAGTAACGTATAATACCGAGATTGCAGAACAATTCATATTTGAACAACTCCAAGTACCGCATTTAAACCTTCTCCAGGAAAGAAAAACTTTTAACTTACCCATACCATATGATCGATTCTGTACTGGAAAGGTGTGAAACTTAGGCGTGTATTTCGATTTCCAGCTCACCTTTAACTACCACATCAGTGTAATTAAAAGTTATCTTCAGTGCTTGTTATAAGTAAATTAGAATACGGTGGAATTATTTGGAGCCCTATCTATGAACTCTACAAAAGAAATGTTGAAAAAGTGCAAAAGAAATTTTAACATACCTATGCTATAGGAGTGATGTGTCTATCCTCCAAGAGGATGAGGCTACTCATTATTATTGAATAGACTTGGAGTCCCTTCTTTGGAGAAGAGCAGAGAGCAGGCGTTTATCATCTATCTAAAGCACCAAAAAGCTTTATGTGCAATAATGTGAATAGGAATGGGAGTTCTTGTGATATCTCCTTTTTTGGACTTCAGGAATTAAGACGTTTTCGTTTGTTATATACTAAGTGACATATAAATCCGAACACCCAGTTTAAATGGTTTTATTTTAATAAAATTTTGTATAAGTACTTAATGAAGTATACTAAGTAAATGATAAAAATTTCAAAATGATTGCACGGCTTTAAAGCCCTTTGACCTTTAATAATGTGTGGATGCACCCTGATGTGCTACGCATTCTCCAACGCGCCTAAGCATGCTTCTGATCAGGTGGTCAATGTCCTCCTGTGGTATCTCATTCCAGGCAACCAACAACTCCTCTCGAAGTGCTTCTAGAGTCTGAGGAGGACGTTGCAAATTGAGCAATCTCCTACCCATCATATCCCACACGTGCTCAATTGGGGATAAGTCGTGAGATCTTGGTGGCCATGGTAACAATGTGACATCATTATGTTGAAAGAAGTCTATTGTGACTCTTGCAACATGTGGTCGGGCATTATGTTGTTGGAAAGTTGGATCTGCCAGGGTGTCAAGATATTGTAAAAGATGGGGTTCTAGAACTTCGTGGATATAACGCTGCGCGGTCATGTTACCTCTGATGAAGATTAAAGGTGACCTGGAACCATAAGCTATAGCACCCCAAACCATAACTCCAACAGTGTGATGAACATGTCTTTCAACAAAAAACTGTGGATTCCTCCTTTCACCACGTCGCCTTCTAACACTTACACCGACGTAATCGCCTTGAGTGGTGCAGACAACGGTCACTCTGGGATCAGGAATGGAACAGTATTGTCTTTAGTGACGAGTCTCGATTTTGTTTAGGCATGCACGATGGTCGTGCCAGGGTTAGAAGGCGACGTGGTGAAAGGAGGAATCCACAGATTTTTTTTGAAAGACATGTTCATCACACTGTTGGAGTTATGGTTTGGGGTGCTATAGCTTATGGTTCCAGGTCACCTTTAATCTTCATCAGAGGTAACATGAACGCGCAGCGTTATATCCACGAAGTTCTAGAACCCCATCTTTTACCCTATCTTGACACCCTGGCATATCCAACTTTCCAACAAGATAATGCCCGACCACAAGTTGCAAGAGTCACAATAGACTTCTTTCAACATAATGATGTCACATTGTTACCATTGCCACCATGATCTCCCGACTTATCCCCAATTGAGCACGTGTGGGATATGATGGGTAGGAGATTGCTCAATTTGCAACGTCCTCCTCAGACACTAGAAGCACTTCGAGAGGAGTTGGTGGTTGCCTGGAATGAGATACCACAGGAGGACATTGACCACCTGATCAGAAGCATGCCTAGGCGCGTTGGAGAATGCGTAGCACATCAGGGTACATCCACACATTATTAAAGGTCAAAGGGCTTTAAAGCAGTGCAATCATTTTGAAATTTTTATTATTTACTTATTATGCTTCATTAAGTACTTATACAAAATTTTATTAAAATAAAACCATTTAAACTGGGTGTTCGGATTTATATGTCACTTAGTATATGTTAATGTGTGAACATTACATGACATACCTATATATATATATAACAAAAATAGGAAAATAATGGGCAAAATCCGCAAAAAGTGGATTCGAGCAGAAAATAGGATAGGTAACCCGAGCGATACGTATTTCTGCTGGTTGGCTTCATCAGGCCCAAAATGAATGCACATATGCAACTACAAAAGTAGATACACATGCCCACACATCCGGATACGGGTGTAACCTGAGGAAACGAAGATGGAGAGGAAAAAAAAGACACACGAAGTCCACAACAAGAGCCAACCTACACATTGTAGTATAAAACGGCTAGAAGACCTTGAATTTTCAAGGCGACAAATAACCACAACCACGCGGCCGGTTATAGCCACTTGCTGTGGTACTTCAAGCCCAAAGGATCTACATAGAGAAAATTATCATGCGGAGAAAGGTATATAACAAAAATAGGAAAATAATGGGCAAAATCCGCAAAAAGTGGATTCGAGCAGAAAATAGGGTAGGTAACCCGAGCGATACATATTTCTGCTGGTTGGCTTCATCAGGCCCGAAATGAATGCAGGTCTTCTAGCCATTTTATACTACAATGTGTAGGTTGGCTCTTGTTGTGGACTTCGTGTGTCTTTTTTCCTCTCCATCTTCGTTTCCTCAGGTTACACCCGTATCCGGATGTGTGGGCATGTGTATCTACTTTTGTAGTTGCATATGTGCATTCATTTCGGGCCTGATGAAGCCAACCAGCAGAAATACGTATCGCTCGGGTTACCTATCCTATTTTCTGCTCGAATCCACTTTTTGCGGATTTTGCCCATTATTTTCCTATTTTTGTTATATACCTTTCTCCGCATGATAATTTTCTCTATGTAGATCCTTTGGGCTTGAAGTACCACAGCAAGTGGCTATAACCGGCCGTGTGGTTGTGGTTATTTGTCGCCTTGAAAATTCAAGGTCTTCTAGCCATTTTATACTGCAATGTGTAGGTTGGCTCTTGTTGTGGACTTCGTGTGTCTTTTTTTTCCTCTCCATCTTCGTTTCCTCAGATTACACCCGTATCCGGATGTGTGGGCATGTGTATCTACTTTTGTAGTTGCATATGTGCATTCATTTCGGGCCTGATGAAGCCAACCAGCAGAAATACGTATCGCTCGGGTTACATATCCTATTTTCTCTCTCTCTATATATATATATATATTCTTCTTCTTTTTTCCTAATATCGACTAATCATATTCATAGTTTCTTTTATCTTTACTTGAAGCGCCTTTCTCTTTTTTGTGTTTGTTTTTTTCACACAGGCTGTGACTAAACCACTGTACTATGCATACACAGCAAGAGCTCTCTAAATTGGGCGATAAATGCCTAACTATCTATTATTATTATAGCCTGGGGTAGGCGTTCTCTTTCTCAAAAAGCCCTTTAAAACGACAAGCGAGTATGAGGATATGTTTCAGGTATTAAACATTATCGGATATTAATTTGGTTTCACAGATCGACCCTTTTATTTGCTGTAGACTTGGACCTCCACGCCTGTAAGTGAAGATAATTAAATGCCCCTAACCGATCGCGATGTTTTCTGCGTGTATTACATGTTTTCAGGTATAATGTGATTTGTGAGCAAAAATCAAGGGCAATTTACGTGAATCCACGAAACGGTGGCGGTAGCTGCACCAGCACAGCAGCACCAGCGCCAGCGTCAAGTCAGTCACTAGGTCAAAGTGAAAGCCGGTCGCGGACAACCGAAATCCTCGTCAGCTCTTACATAACAACCGGCATGGCACACGGCGCGCATATGTGGATGTGTATATTGGAACACACCTCCTTCATTGCTGATTGCTTCAGTTGATTATGTCGGTTTAACAGGGAAAAATTACCGCAATTACTGCCTTTTGTGTATGGTGGTTTTCAGTACAGTGGTGGATATAAGACCTCCGGAGGGCCGAAACAAAAACTTAGTAGGTACCTCCTAAGAGGAGAAGAACCCCAGACAATTCTGCACTTTGCTGGGCTTTGCGCGGTCATTTTAAAGTTGGAATGGAGGCCTCATGCGACCTAAAACACTGCTTATGTTTTTGGGAAGAGGCTGCACAAACTCCACCATCCATACTTGATTTGCGTCAGAGGAAATTAATCTGATTGGTCGGTCTCACTTCATTTGCATGTCCATTCCACATCGTAGTGCGGCCGCTGATTTGTGTCTTTCAATGTAGATAGAATGAGCTTTAATCGACGGTAGGCATTCTGAGCTGCTAGGCTTCAGCCTTTTTCAACTTTCAGTACTTCTACATTACAGTATATTTAAAATGTGGAATAGTCTACTAAAAGAGTTTTTCGCAGCTCTGCTGACCGTATTGTCTCAGGAGCTTTAAAACCTTAACTTTGACTTGAATATAAGAAAATTATAGGTAAATATGATGTTATTTGCATTGTTAAATAGGTAAGTTGGCTACGATGCCGCAATCTAGATACCGTTTATTATTCACATTGTACTAAAGGTATGGTACAGCTCTAAAAAGTTGAAGCCAAACTAAAACGTTCGATCTTCTATTTTTCAAGGGAACATAGCTTGTTACACAATTAATAAAACCATCGGTGGACTGCTAGCACCAGTGCAGGCATGAGAATTCATGAAAGAATGATGGCGAATAATATTGATCAGTTTTGAAAGATTAATGGTCTGCTCCAACAACTCGGCTAGTAATCAAGATATGACTTAGATGAACATTCTTCACAATCTGAGAAAAAATGACGTCAAGTAGATTGACAGTATAGAGTCAATCAAGTTTCAGAATACGGAGTCTAGTGGGTACAATTAGCGCACTATTTATGTGTCGGTACGTGGTAGCCTCATCTCTATGGAGCTCTGGTGTAAAACTATTTGTCAACAATGTTTAATTGCTAATTATAATAGCTCTTGATACGTACTTATATACTATATAACACTATATAAAATTACCCCACGACGTCTAGTAACCTCATCAAATTACAATGTATATATCGCATCACCTGCTACCTGCTTCTTGACCCGAAGAATCTAGCCACGCTGCTCTAACTTGAGATCGAGAGGGATAGTGATGCATTTGTATGCATATAGGGTTTGCTGCGCAAAGGAAGGAGACCCGTGACCGAGACACGAATCACGCCTGTATATAAGTCTAATCATATTAGCAAATTTCCCCAAAATAATTGTATGTCTGGTTTCATTGATGCAAGTTGTTCAAGGGGGTGTTTAAAGCATGGACGCATAAAATGGGTACACCAGTATTTCTGGGAAAACTTTTTATTCGACAATAATGAATGAGAAAACGTGTTGTTTGAGATTCAATCGAAAGTGTTGGCAGGAACGAGAAAACTCTTCAAACATGATTTTTAGGTATTTGTGAGACCTACAGAATGAGACCACACGTAAAAAGATCCCACTAATAGTAAAAAAGTTATGTCCGAAAACCGAGGCAAAATGCAGGTTGCGGCACTTGTTGCTAATGGGACGATAATTTCACGCAGCTGCTTGAAATTCTTCAAATCCGAAGGTTTCTTACTTCTAAATAACCACAACAAAATTGGAGTCGATTGGTCAAGTAGTGATTGAGAATGTCTAATCGTTTATTCCAAATTACCTGTCTTCCGGCTGTCACTACTAGTTTACTGAGCAATATACAGGGTTCGTACATAGGGCATTTTATAGCAAAATACACGAGTTTACCTTTTTTTTCGCAACAAAAGGTGATAGACACATTCGCTTTGTTTAAACAAGTGTATAATAACGTATCTTTTTCGAATATCGTAGCGAACCTGTTCAATAAGTTACAAATACGTAATGTTTGGATTTGTTTGGGAGAAAAAAAGGAAACCTTTGTTTTTCGCATAAAAATAACAATTATCTTTCGAAATGGCTTGTGACTTGTGTCGGCAAGGTAAGGTCGTATATTTTGCTATTAAATGCCCTTTGGACGAACCCTTTATAGTAGTAAACTAGTAGTGATGGCCGGAAAACAGGTGTTTTGGGGTGAACAATTAGAATTATTCAAAAAACTACTTGATCAATCTACTCTAATTTTGTTGTGGTTATTTAAAAGTATGAAGCCTACGGATTTGAAAAATTTAATTTCAAGTGGTAGCGTGAAATTATCGTCGCATTAGCAGCAAGTGCCCAAATCTGCATTTTGCCTCGGTTTTCGGCCATAACTTTTTCACTATTAGTGAGATATTTTTACGTGTGATCTCATTCAGTAGGTCTCATAAATACCTAAAAATCCTGCCAACACTTTTGATCGAATCCCAAATTCTTTGTTTTCGAATAAAAAGTTTTCCCATAAAAATAGGTGTACCCATTTTATGCTTCCATGTTTCAAATTCCCCCATGAACAACTTGCATCAATAACACCAAACTTTACCATCATTTCGCAAACCAGGGATATTCTCGCCTAATATGATAAGACTCATGTGTATTTAAGTTTTAAAGGCAAAATGTACGGGGACATCTATGATGTGTGAAATATGTCTACATACTATCCAGAAAAAATTGCTATAATTTTTGCGATTACATTACGTTCTCCACCAACAGGTGGGGGAGCTTATAAGTTCTAAATCGTTGATGCTTCGAAAAGAGTCAAGCAAAGTGCGTAATGCACATGTTCAACAATACAGGTAATGCATTCAAAGCATAAGGCTGAGAATCATTTGTTTGCATATATTACGTTAAACTACTACTATCAGTGTTTATTTTTTAAAAACCGATAAGGGTTGTATAAATGCATCCAAATCGGTGCAGCGGTTGTCGAGATTACGCGGATCGGAAGTTCTAACAAACAAAGCGACAGACAGGCAATGGTAGACCGAATTCACTTACACGATATATCTGAACATTTCTTTTAATCATTCTCAATTAATCTTTGTAATATATGCACATAGGTAAACCAAGTCGATCTTGAACAGGCAGTATTCCATTTTTGATGTTTGGTCACTACTACAGTATAGTTGCACAAGAGAGCACTCCTGCAAATTACACAATGAAAAGAGTGAAGCAACGTGTCTGTTTGTATCAGTTGCTTAGAATGTATTCTACATTCCATTCATCTCTAGATTTTGCAACATTCCAGTATCGGAAGCTGAAGACATTTTTATTTGTTAGTCCGGGTACTTTTACAAGTCGAACTCCAAATTCAAGCCAAGTGACTGATCAGTCATTCTTAAATCGTTAAAATAGATAAATCATATACATCTTTTAAGTTTTGCATATAGAAACATAGTAGGCCGCGCGGATCGAACGTCAGTACTGAATCTTAACCTAACTCCTCAGTAAACTTAAATTCAAAGTTTCACAACAATACGTGCACTGTGCTCACTACAGTGAATTTTTAAGTGTCACCAAGTCATTAAAAAAATGGAACTCAACCGAGAACATTTTCGCGCCATAATGTATTACAACTTTTAGAGACCATTATCTCAACAATAATGCCTTGCTGAGTTACTGTTTGTTTTCGGCAACGAAGCGCCACATCAGTCGACAATTTTTCGTTGGTATGGAGAATTCAAACGTGGACGGGTGAGTCTTAGCGACGATCCCGGGGTGGGTGCACCAAAAACGGCAGTCACCCGGGAAAACGTCGATACTGTGCGCAAACTCATCATTAAAGATAGACATGTGTTATATCGCGAGATTGAGGCGCCCTTGAAGATCTCAAAGACCTCAATTCAAAAAAATTCACATCAAGAATTAGGAGTAAGAAAATTAGTTTCTCGTTGGATACCCCACCTGTTGACTGAAGAGCAGGAAACAGCCAGGGTTAATTGGTGTCAAAAATCGCTTGACCGTTTAAATTCTGGAAACTCAAAAAATGTGTACAGCATTTTTCGTGGAGACGAATCATGTATTTACTGTTATGAACCAGAAAATAAACAGCAGTCAGCTGTTTAGGTGTCCCAAGGTGAAGAAAAGCCAACAAAAGTCATCCGTTCTCGAAGTGTTTCGAAAAAGATGGTCGCGACATTTGTGTCAAAACAATTCCTCTTAATGAGCAAAGAACTGTTACTGTGGATTGGTATACCACCATTTGTTTGCCAAAAGTCATCACCGAGCTTCGAAAAATCAACCCTGAAAGAAGAATCATCCTCCACCAAGACAAAGCAAGCTCGCACACAGCCCAAAACACAAGGCAGTATTTAACGGAAGAAAACGTGGAATTATTGGACCATCCTCCATATAGTCCAGATCTAGGAGATAACGATTTCATTACTTTCCCGAAAATTAAAAACAGACTGCGTGGTCAAAGGTTCCAGTCACCAGAAGAAGCAGTTGACGCATTCAAAAATGACGTTTTGGATCTGCCAGCAAACGAGTGGAATAAGTGCTTCGAAAATTGATTCGAGCGCATGCAGGTGTGTATTAATCTTCGTGGAGAATACTTCGAAAAACAATAAAGTCATTTAAAACTACCTACCGTGTTGTTTTGTTTCCATATGCAAGACTAAAAAGACATCCCTCGTATGTGTATTACAAAATGATATTGAACTAAATAAAGCATTTTCAAGACTTTTTATGCATCTAACTTCCATTTTGACTAAATTCTGGCACTTGCCTAATTTTGAAATTCAGAGTATTCCCGGAGATAGACGGAGAAAAGAAGAATTTTTCCAAAAATATTTCTTATTTTTTCCTTACGTAAATTTGAGATGTTAGTTTAAAATACATCGCACATTAAGATTGCCGATATAGATAAAATTGGATTTTTTACGTCGGTCTCTGGGAAGGAGCTATTAGGACCATTTTAAGAAGAAAACTTCATATGACCGCATCCCCTAAACGTCTTAACTTTGGAGATACAGGATTGTAAAGTTTTCAAAAATAAATCATTCACTAATACAATCTATAAATATCACTTTAGATATTTTAATGAAATTTGTCACCCATGTGTATCCACCAGCGGCGTTCGTACGGCATTTCACCTACATATTTTTGCCAGACATTGATAGTGCGCCGCTGATTTCTTTTGAAACAAAAATTATTCTTGAAATCCCATATCCCCCTAAGAAATTTTGATACCCTGATTTTTTCATGCATGGGTTTCGATTAAAAAAATAAAAACCGTTCCTGTACATGATCATAAGAATATCGTTTATATGACTATATCACCAGAAATTTACTGAGAACCAAATTTGTCTGACGGCTTGAGTTCAATGTGTACGATAGAGAAGTGTGTATAGACGCATATGTTAGACCAATTCCTTGAATACAGAATCATGTTCAAAATATGCGTTAGTTTATTCTTATCGCCCAAATAATGGTTTTATTTTGAGCGTACACATTTTTGATGAATTGTGTCGAATCTGTTTAGGATTGATTCCCGATAGGTCCTAATTTTTGGTCGAAATAAAAGGTCAGGGTCGCCACAAATTCTGCAACATTGCACCATTGGTTCGTTTAATAGCACCACATCTTGTACATTCCAAGGCAAGGTTTCCATCTCCATGATCACAGTTGAGCGATTTTGGTCAGTACCGATCCAGCGTTCGTAGGGGAGTGTCGTCCTGCTTCGAAATGGCTTTCACCAGCGTACACGCAGGCAGTGATAATTTGTATTACGTAACGTTAGTTGTTACATTTCCCGACCGTAGCGCTGTCGCAAAATGTAACAGTAACTCAGGATGTCTTGATTTTACCATCATCGATGAAAATCAAAAATAATTATAAAATAAACTCAAAGCCTAAGTCGCATCAAAATTGAAATAGGTAATTCGAATCAAAATGAAAACAACATATTTAATCAAATGTTTGAGTAGACCTCCTCCTTGGGTTTAGCTAACCTATTGTAGAAGCCCTTGTGAGCCTTTTTTGGTGTAACATATTGGCAACGCGGCAGATTGCACGACCTTCTGCATCCCTGTCGCTAGACAATGTGGTGATGAGTTTCGCTATTCAGCCGGCTTCTATCTCTTTCTAATATGTGATGATACACACTTCTCGAGCTTTTCTATCGTACACATTGAACTCAAGCCGTCAGACAAATTTGAGGTGTATTTTAAGGACTGCAGCAAATTACCAGTAACCCTACATACTACATTTCCTAATTGAATGGGTCCATTGTGAGACAAACATTTCAGCGTCTTAACCTATGAGATTCAGAGTTTTCAATACAGAAAGTCAGTGGCACGCCACTGCGCCACTGACTTTTATTGAAATAAAAAATTAAATCTATATTGATTTAGGAGCAAATTTCTCCTGAATTTTTTAGTTGGACGCACGGTTTCCACTGAAAAAAATAAAAACCGTTCCAGTACATGATCATAAGAATATCGTTAATATGACAATATCACCAGAAATATATATAATTGAGACATCTTTTATTTTTTTCAGTGGAAACTTTACGATTCGGAAAGCAATTTTAATATTTTCGGTGTGCCTCAAAAGTCTCTTCAAAACTATTAAAAGACAATGTGGCCATTTCGAATCATTGTGATAAACGTATAAGGATGAAAGCTAAGTGTACGGGCAAGTATTTCTAGCATTTTTTTACGCTCATTTTTAGAGATAGGAACAGCTTTGTTTTGAGGTACCCTGAAAACAGAAACAACTCTATAGTTTTTATAATTATATACAGGCTGTTAAATTCAACAGTGATTTTAAGACAAAAAGTTCATATAAATATAGATCCGCAAATTCCTCGGTCTCAAGATACAGGCTTCCACAATAAAAAAATAGTTTTTCCCAAATTTCTTAAATATCCTTTATCTAATTTTGTTACAATTTGGCGGCTGTACTTATAGCATTAAGGAACCAATTTGGCCCTAGCTTGATTAAATTTTTAAAGTCTAGCGGCGTCTCGAGCGGGATCTGAACTAATATTTGCGACAAAAAATGTACGCCACTGACTTTTGTACCATTCTAATTGTGTTCTTTATTATATTTAAGCAGATAGGAATACAACTTTGTTGCCTCTTCAATTTGTTTCGTATCTTGCTTAGTTTTCGAGAAAAAAAATCCACTTAATTGCATATCCCTGGGGAAAATATTCCTTAGTTTAGTAAAATTCATTAGTGTAGATGTAATTTAATTTAGTGTTTATTTATTGTTGCTCCATAGTTAGTAATAAAAAATTATAAAAAAGTAATATCCAAAAGAAACTTGCTTATTCCAAGGAATATGATAAAAATTGCACAAAAGTCAGTGGCGTACATTTTATTGTCACAAATATTTGTTCAGATCCCGCTCGAGACGCCACTGGACTTAATAAATAAAATAATCGTCTGTTAAATTTATGGTACATACTGTAGTAGCACCCTGTATATTAACTCAATTGAAGTATCGCTATACAATGAAAATCAATCGAATTCTCACACATTCCTTACCTAGTTTTGGTTTCTTTGTTGTTAAGAAATCATGGTAATTGATAATCTCGAATATTATTGATTTTGTAATCTGTTGTATTTTAGGTCTCCTTATCACTCTCTCAAATGAATACGACGAATTACTTGTCCCTAGGCTAAAAAGTATAACTCAAATACAATTTCGAAACCGCAGCGCAACATAAATGTGATCACAAAGTTAGCGGCTTGTAGATTTGAGAAATGCTAAAAAATAAGTTAAACTTTACACTTTGGAGCAGAAAGAAAAAAGGCCGCCTTTTTCATCGAGAAAGATTTTTAGAAGCATCAAATAATAAAACATAAAAATTGCTTCAGTATTGACTTGGCCTATTCAGCAACTTGATATAGCGAGTAATGTTCCTTTTGAGAAATAGACGCGAGGTATAAGCGGTCGAAATAGACGCGAGGTAGAAGCGGTCGGAACGTGGAATAATATCCGGTAAAAGTGGAACACTGAATCCGCGACACCCAATGGTAAATATTACAGGGTCGATTTGTCATTTACAGCCGTTAAGCAATTTGCGTTGATGGGAGACTTATATGGAAATCGGTTTTCATTACGATTATATCTAAGCAGTTAACTTAGCGCCCGATGAAGACCTATTCACCAAACCCAACAGATGGCCTTTTCACAATGCCTATTATAGGACTGATACAACTTTAGGATTCACATGTCATTATCTGATAACCGCGTAATCCATATTCTGCAATTCAGGATTTGAATACTGATTTATTTCGGTGCTTTTGGTTCAGGTACATCAGTTGATATAACTAAATCATTTAACAATGACGTCAAGTAGGTCGATCTGTATTTCGCACGCAGTTCTGTTCCCAATTAGATTAGGATCCGTGTATGTCCAGACCTAAGATTGTACGAATTATGATTTAAATCAATCAAAGCAACTGGATGTGATCTGTATAGAATCGATCTACTTGGCATGTATTTTTAACAGATTGAATAAAATTTTCATCTTTTATGTTTGTTTATGTTTCATAACGTGCAGTAATACTTTATACGCATGTATACCGGAGGTACCTTTTCAGTCACGGCGAGTCGATTGGCTTGCGTCATTGTTCCGTAACTTTAGCCCCCGTAATTCTACACACTTATTAATTTTATTTGTCATATTTCACACATAGATTTATCAGTACATTTGATCTCAAGCCCCAGAATGATTAGAAATATTTTCGGTACCCACGTCAGGCGCAACGAAATCCGATGTTGTCGGGTGGTCGGCAGGGCCGAGCAGCACTTTCTAGATAACAACGTTGTCAAATGGGGGGACTAGGAACTAATTGTACGAGTATGGGCCTATTTGACTGATGTGATCTGCATTCCTTCGTAACTTGTTCATTGTACACCGTTTTCTAAGAACAAAATCATTTGCGAACTGGTTACAGTGTTGCCTGGGAAGTACAGAATTGACTTGCTTGACCCCCTTTTTTTACTATTTCTATGAAATGTGAGTAAAAACAGTGTATAGCTTACAGGATTTTGAACCTAATGAGTTACTAAGAAATTATGAAAATGCGATCAAGTTGACTGACTTGGCCTTGCCAGATTGCAAATATATTACCAATCTTAAAGTGTTTGGCTCATAAACTGGCGAATATTAAAAATTAAGATTGTGAATTAAATATTTTTGATCCTTTAAGAAACGTCTTTGACGGTGCCTGTTAATTATCATAAAGCTGTAAAATACGCAATAATGACGAAGACAGACACAGAGATGAACAACATAGTTTTTTATAATCTAGAAATCACAGTCAAAAACATGTTATCTGTAATTTTAAATGTTCATGCCTTAAAACTAAGTTTTGTTTCACATCAATAACAGAAAAAGGCATATAACTAATAAAGATAGTGAGATCTTCATTTAGAAAAGGCAAGGCAGTGAAAATTTGAATCGTTTTTTCTACACCGAAGCAGCGGTTGCTATAAGGATCCCAGAGAAATTTTCTTAAAACGATTTCTGAACTGCCTAAGGTTAGTAGAACTGGAAGAAGCTTCCTCTTGTAGATTGTTCTGGATGTACGAAGTTCGACACGGTTAGGATGGGAGGCCGAAGTCA